ATGTGTAATGGTTAAGGCCCTGGATATTGGCCTGGGAAGTTAGTTGGTAGAGCACCTGTCTGATTAGTAGCTTAGTCAGTTACAGCACTTGAATAGTGATGCACGGGTCATGGGTTTGATTCCTGGTCCAGCCATACATTTTCCCCTTTCCTGTTACATATATTAAATATGTATGCAATTACATTACCTACCTTCTAATCCCTCTACCCCATCTAACTGGGTTAACAGCTGATTAACCACCCTGTCTGTAACCCCCGTGTTGTCATGACCTCGCCTACAATTTTGATATTATAAATATATTACTAAACAGCTACTAATAACATGAATGTAAATTTTATAAGGTGGTTATTGTATATGTAGTTCAATGCACTGTATTCCAGAAAGAGATTTTAATATTATCCAATGATTATTGACAATTTACTTAAAAAAAAATTACCTGGGAGCCAAAGAGTCAAACTCATCAAAGAATAAAATGCATGGCTTGGCACTTTGAGCTCTAAAATTTAAGAAAAGAAAAAATTAATATTCAGGGAATCATACCACAAAATCTTATACTATAAACTTAAGGGAAAGAAAGATAACTCTTACAGAACTCACCTTACAAAGTTATCCCTGACGGCTTGTTCACTAGCACCAATGTATTTACTCAGGAGTTCAGGCCCCTATTTACAATTTATACTGTATACAGGGTTATTTTCGCCCCATGTTATTTTCGCCCTTTTACACTTGCTTAAAAATTTGCTCCATTTTAAATTCGCCCAGTATCAGTTCTGTTTAAGAATTTATACTGTGTTCTTTGAATTCGCCCCGTTTTAAATTAGCCCACTTGTGACAAGGCGAAAGGGGCGAAAATAAAACTGAAGCGAAAATTTCCCTGTATACAGTAGTTTTGAAATTAGTTATTTCAGTCAAGGAATTGATTAAATGCAAAGTTCTTTTTGTCTTATAAAAATTGAAAAGGAAAGGAAACATTATCATGTACTTTCTGATTTATATACATGTATTCACATACATTATATAAATGTACACATTATTATACTAAACAATAATATACGAAACCAATTTTTGTCTGACTGGATGTTAGTCCTCCTTTACCTTGATACTGATAAAGTTGAGTCCACATTCCTTAGCCACCACTCCTGCCAATAGTGTCTTCCCTGTCCCTGGGGCCCCATACAGCAGTAGGCCGGACCTCAATCTCAGGGGGCAGGAGGAAAATAACATAGGGTACTGTAGGTATAGGAATAAAAACAGCTTTATAGACATACAGCAGTAAACCAGACCTCAATCTCAGGGAGCAGGACAAAAATAACATAGGGTACTGTAGGTATTGAAATAAAAACAATCTTAAAGTCATACAGAAGTAAACCAAACCTCAGTCTCAGGAGGCAGGAGGAAATTACCTGGGGATACTATAGGTGAGGAAAAAAAGTACATTATTATAGTCATACAGCAGTAAGCCTGACCGCAGTCTCAGCTGGCAGGAGGAAAATAACATAGGATACTGTAGGTGAGGAAAAAATAGTACATTCTTATAGCTATACAGCAGTAAGTCTGACCTTAGTCTCAGAGGGCAGGAGGATAATTACATGTGGTACTGTAGATATGATTGATTGATTGTACATTGTTTAATGCCCCTCTTGAGAATTTTTTCACTCATATGGAGATGCCACCACTTGCCGGTGGAGAGCTTCAAATTTTGTCCTTTACTCAGCTCAGGGCCATTGAGCAGAGCGGGATCTTTTTTGTTCCAGCACCTACTGTGACATGGGACTTTGATTTATACAATCTCATCCGAAGGACCGGTCTCCATGTCCTACAGTGGGATTCGAACCCATGACATAAGGATCAACTCCTTACTTCGCGACTCTAGAGCAGACGCTTTAACCACTGCGCCACTCGGGCGACTACTGTAGGTATGATAAAATAGTATGTATATTCTTACAATTGTGGTCTGAGGAGATATATCAGAGCCTATTGCTATTGTTGTAAAATGGTACCAAGGACACAGGTACTTGAAATGAATCATATAACTATGCAGTATTATAACACTGCATAGTAAAAATGATTACACATGTTAGAAAATAATGGAAATTACTCAGTATTTTGTATTATTATAAATTTCAATTTTAGGCTTTGTCTGCATGCTACATCTACCTTTGCAGTTTTAAGCAATTTCTCAGTTGCAGTTATTAATGTACTAGCATATATTAAAGAATATTTAAATATCAGTAACAATTTAACCTCTGTTAGATGTTTCGGGACAAATCCCTAAAATTGGGTCACCCTAAAACTTCCATTATTATACAGACCTTAGAGGGCCACATTAGAGTTTCCATCAGTGTTTTCTTGACATCTGTGAGTCCCCCCACATCCTCCCACCCTAACTCCCCCGCCTGGTGCAGCGGCACATTCCTGATGGAAGCTGGCGTGAACCCTGACATGGCCTCTGTGAAGTCTGCCTGGGTGAGGACCATCTCCGGCTGAGGTTTGTCTGCTGACTGGTTAGGGTCCCTCTCTGGTGTAATAAAAATCGAACTCCATCATGATCAGCTTACTGTTACTTTGTATTTAGCCTTCAACAAATCTCAAAATCTATTAGATTTATTTAACTGTTTGCAACTAATAAAATACCAGTATATAAAATTAGAACTGTGAATTTCATTTTTATTTCTGTTAAAACTGCCATAATTAAAGACATTGAGAAGATATTATTCCTCTTTGGAGAACAGTTAATCTTTCAATTAAATTCTATTACAATTCGGTAAACTACATCAGTATTTCTCTTATCACCAGGGCTTTTTATGATATACTTTTACTTTATAATGAATAAATCAAATTACATGTAATTTATTTCTCTCAATTGTATTTATCTGTAATTATGGCCTATTTTTCATTAACAATATGTATAGCTATAAATTCCTTTAAGATTTGTAAGATTTTAAGAATTAATTCTCATCTTACTTTGCTATGCTGTGATATACTTTTATTCTGAATTTTTTACTGCAGAGTCTGAGTTCTTCTAGCATTTCTCATAATTAAAGACAACTCTTGCTACTTATTTCTCCGCATCCTAGGAGAAGCTTCCTTTAAAGTGCAGACAACTCTCTCAATAGCTCATGTTAACAAAATCATCACTGATGTAAATTTCCAAGAAAAGATAAGTAAAAGGAACAACAATAAAAAACATTAGATATTCTCATGAATCAACAGAGCAAATACAGCTTAATTTAACCTCTATAATATTCAAAACCTAGACAAATATTCTAAACAAAATGCAATTATTACTACACAGTCAGAGAGAGAATGATTCTGACATGTGGTATAAATTAAGGCGGTATCTCCCCTATAGCTTGAGGTCTGTTACTGTCGACTTCTTCAACTCACAAAAAATGTCCTCAAAACATTGGCACAAGTCGACAGTGTGCCTTGACCTCTTTTTATAAATATCCTGTGGGTGATATTGCTTCAAGTACATGTATTTTGTAAATTCAGCATGTAAACAATTATTTTTTTTTTTTACATCAAAAAGTATGTTGTCTAGCAATGAAATGGAAATAGAGTAAATCTGGTGAACATTTTAAATCAATGGAAAACAGAATTTTTTTCTATAACATACCTCCAAAACCACAATTTAATTAAACCAAAAAATATCAAAATATCTTTTTTACAAGTATTATAAAATTTTATTTGGCAAATTCAAGTCAAGTTTTTGTTTTCTAAAGGGAAAGGTTGGGGGGGTGGGGGGGGGGGGGGGGGGGGTGGGGTTATGTAATATATTAACAGACATTAAAAGACAAACCAATTTCAAAACTCAAACAGATACACATGTGGTAAAACGGTCATTTTATGACCATTTCAAATGAAATTCAACTTTAAACATTTACTAAATAAATTTGATACATGTGTAGTTACTAAATAACAACAAAAACTGTGAACACAAAGAATTAAGAGATCTACTAAGTAAGTGTATCCACAAATTCAACATCCACATAAAAATTCCTGAAAAGCTGTATAGTATTCCTGAAACTGATCTTCTATTGTGCTTTTTTCTATCCCCTTCCCCCCCCCCCCCCCCCCCCAGCCCCCTTTCCATGATTTGAATTAAATTAAATACATGTATGGTCTGCTTGATGATTTGTTGGCTCTGCTGTTTTTGAGACAAAGCTAAATATGTATTCCTATGTGAAACTGTATGACTGCATGACTTTATTCTGTTTTTCAAGAGGAGATTAATTTTTTTTCCCTCACAGACCCTTATAACACTCTGATACCCCATTTGTGATTCCATCCTTTCCTTATAGGACCATGATTTAAACAAACTTGAAATGATCTAGACTGCCTGAGAAGACTTGCATGTCAATATGTCTATAATCATAACCATGCTTTTTTCTACATATTCCCATTTAAATTTACATTTTGATCTCATTGTGAATCCTATTTACTATGGCTGGAATAAAACAACTTTTTCTATACTAATATGTATCATGATATTTGAGCTATATGATACGAAATGTTTTTATCAATCACAATATCATATGTTTAATGGGTTATAAAATTACTTTTGGTATTGATATGAACAAAACATTTTTTTCACAAAAAAGAATAATTTATTCAAAGAAGTTGTATATTTGTTGTAAAACAAAATTATTTTCACAAATGGTGTCATTAAGTATGGTACTTCATATTTATATTTAGCATTCTAGTATTTCATTTTATATATTAGACCCAACATATATTTACAATGAAAATTAGTCATATATCAAACATGAAATCTGCTGACAGCTGTTGTGGGAGAAAGAATTGAAGAAAAATGGCAATTTCAGCTAAACAATTCAAATACAGGTCAAATTTTCATTTCTAGTGAATTTTAGTGACTATTAATATTTGGGTTCTTATGAAAAGGGTAAGAAATATTTGACATTTTGTGTATATACATTCAATACATGTATATCATATGTATGAGATTTTCACTATTTCTTAATTACCTCCCCTTGAGAAATTGTTTGGCTTAATCTCCATTTGAATAACTTTAATTCCTTTCACTCAGTGATGTTTTGAGTCAATTTTGGTGGTATTTTTACGTATAGCAGTTTTGAAGAAGTCGCAAATAAGAAAAGTTTACAGACAGCATTTAAGTTAATGTACATTCCTATAAATATATTCTCATAATTAAATAAAAAGTATTATTTGATGAGAACTCAGAAGCACCTTTCACATGCTCCTTTTACTTTTATGGTTCTAAAATAAATCTAAAATCTCTTGGTTAACCTTTTATTTGAAAATTATATTCTTGCAATTTGACCTCTAAAAGTCATTTCATTTCATACAAGTACCTGTGTACATTAAGGAATATAGAGTAAAACAGATTGACAGACTGTTCGGACAGCCCACTTTGGATTAGGTGAATTAATGAAAAAGGTTAAAATAATTAATGTGCATTCAGTGACAAATATCAATGAAAGGATACAGTTAAAATTCTTTATCTCAAACTCAATGAATCTGATCAAGAAGAATTGGAGATATCAGAGGATTCAACATATTAAGAATAAAATACTTATTATATAAATAATGAATTTGTGGCTGTGTCTTCCAAATCACTTTGACCTATCCATGATATTTTAGATATAAATGTTTGAGATATCAAAGTTCAACTTTACTTATCAAATGATAAATTCCTACCTTGCTTGATTGTATGTGCATGGATAGCTCGGCTGACAAGATTTTCCAGGTCTTGAGCTACGTAACCCTCTGTTCTCCCCAGGATAACATTAAGATCCAGCTCCTCTAATGTCTGCTGGGAAACCATGTGTCTGTTCCTGATGATAGCTCTAAAGATCTCTTGTCTTTTTTTCTGAAAGAAAATTGAAATATACAGCTATAAAGGAAATTGTTGCAATGTATTGTTTTCCACAGTAAACCCATCAGGCATAAATTTACAATACAGTGTATTCTTAAAACTTTCAAGAGTTTCAATTAACTAATACATGTAGCAGAAATGCTAAAAACATTAAAGCCTTCCAACTAACTAATAGCTAAAAAGATTTTTATATGGGAAAGATGGTTACATTTTAACTTTGCATTTTCACATAATGTATATAGGGTTATTTTCGTCTCGCTTTATTTTTGCCTTTTCACATTTGCAAACAATTTTGCCCTGTTTTAAATTCGCCCAGTCACAGTTTTGTTTAAGAAATTATACTGTCATCTTTGAATTCGCCCCTTTTTAAATTTGCCCACTTTAGGTTAGGGCAAAAGGGGCGAAAATTAAACGGGGCGAAAATTTCCCCATATACAGTAAACATTGTACTTGCATAATTATTATGTATTTATTACATGCAATCATGCATGTACATTTACAGTAAGTATATCCATGGCTGGAGATATAAAATAATATTTCTCCTAAAAAGATCTGATTTCTCACTAATTATGATGTGTGGAATTCGTTTTCACATTAAGAGAAAGTTTAATCCTTCTTAAAAACAATTCAGAAGTAAACTATTGGTAATCCACTTCTTTCTGAATTCATATGGAATAAACTTTCATACCTTAATCTGCATGCATATCAGTATAAAGACTAGAGTATCAATCTACAGAACACAGTCATATTAATCCTTCTTCAGTGTATTTTCTTTTAGTACTTTTAATAGTTTATGTCATATATTAATAATTCTGCTGAATAAAATATCATTCATCAGTGATCATGCAGTTACACCATTATAAAACAGCTACCTTGTCCGGTGGATTTATTCGTATCAGTTCCTGTAGGAAGTGAGTCCCTCTGGACGTCATCAGTAGGGGGTGGATAGAACTCCGTGACTGACTGGTTGCTATGACAGCAAGAAGACCTCCATTGGTAATTTCTTTCCTCAGTATGTCTCTTATCACTGCAATAATGTATGACTAATTCAAAAATTCATTTGTCATGTTCATGTATTTGCATGATTTACATGCATTGAGTTTTTTTCCTTAATTTGTACTTCAAAACTTCATTAAATTCACTTTAAGAACCCACTTTACACTGCACAGTAAGCAGTTCTGATTCTGTTATATTTTTTTGCAGTTAGAGTGATCTGCTCTTATAAATCTAAATTCAAATAAATTGAAATCTACAGACTGAGTCCATCTCAATTTGTAATCAATTCAAGCATTTCTAACATTTTAAAAAGCCAAAATAAATCTAACTAAACAATTCATTTGTGTAGTAGTGTAAAATACACGGCATCCTACTAGCTTGGGCTAGTGGGTTAGCCCTTTAGCTCAATCGGTAATGCACTGGACTGGGAAGCCAGAGGCCCCGGGTTCAATCCCCAGCAGAGGCACAAAATTGTCTCTGTTACATTTGGTGCCCATGTAGGGACCCAGGTGTTCTCTGGTGAGTGAGAGTGATTGCCCCTAGAACCTCGCCCCACAGGCATTGACACTCCACGAGAGTTAAGGACATCTCATTCTCTGGAGGGGGACAGTGTAGTAGTGTAAGAGTAAGTGTAATTAAACTCAGAAGTCTAGAGAACCTGAGAATTTATTGTTTCAATGTGAAATGAACTTTGAACAGAGCGCTGCTCAGTAGATTTTATCTCGTATCAACCAAGTATTTTTAATTTATGAATACTATGTTTGATTAAATGAAACACAACTGCTTTACTTGAAAAAAGCATGCCATACATGTACATGCATGCATATATGGCAGGATGTTAATTTAAAAAGAAATCTTCATTCTTTCAAAAAGCATTAAAATTTGTATTACTAGACAACAATAATTTTTTTTTAGTTAACACAGCTAATGCTGTTACTACTGCCTACTACTCCTAAATGAGTGATATTTTAACTACTTATGACATACCTTCACCAATTCTAGCTCCGTAGATTGCCTCCCCACCAAGTTCTGCCTCAGGGCCAGATGGGGCCGGCACCACATGATCTAAGTCATCCAATAGAATTATAGATGGTTGTCTCCACACCGCCTCATCAAACACCTCCTCTAAATACTTCAAAATACTGTCTGGACGTTTACCTGAAAGTCAAAACATATTATCTTTTAATCTTTATATCTACACGAATGCTACAAATAGAATTACGTTTTGCATTCAATGAAATACTTGAAAACATCTTGAAATACTATAGGTTCTTGGCAAGGTACTTGTGACTTTGAACCAAATGTCTTATGCAACAAAAATGAGCAGTTTTTTTCCTATGATGAAGGATGTGCCTTTATATTAAAACATAGGTGAAATGAAATCTGTGCTATATTTGTACATATATATAAATAGATATTTCTAAAATCTGATTGATATTGAAAATACAGTACACCTACCCCTGAGTGGTTTACACTCAACATAAAAGATATGAGCCAAGTTTTCTTTTTCTGCCATTTTTCTGCATAAAGCTTTGGCCAGTGAACTTTTTCCACTTCCTCTACTGCCAGTGATGAGAAGCATCCCATTGCTCAGCCCTGGAGTGGTCATGTTAAACATACCATCAGCCAGGGGCTTCATGCCTAGGCAAATTTCCAAGTGTGACAAGGCTTTGGGTATGTACTCTTCCACACCTCTAAAGAAAAAGAGAAACAATTCATTCTTAATTTCTTAAACTATGCTCTAAATAAAACAATATGCATGCAGTTTTACAAATTAAAACATCATTTTCATGCAGACATAAGTAATCAGAGATTAAGTAATGTTGTCTTTAACCTGGCCACTCATCATTTAATTAAGTTTTTATTTTATTATCTGTACACTTTAACAATAATTTGAAGCAATTACTTGAATATGTTTGTGTATATCCCAAGTTTCACTTGCTTTGTAATGATTTCAGATGAATTTCTGAGGGCCTTACCCTAAGTCAGAGAGCTGTGTCCTAGGAAGCATGGGGTCAATGGTGTCTAAATTAGTGTACTGCAGCATGGGTAGTACAGGCCACTGTGGGGGAGCATGGGAGTCAGGTTTGACCACATTTAACGGAGCATCATTCATATTGCCCTGGTACACTAAACTGTATGGAGGAATTTCTGGATCTTGTTGGTGGACTGTCCCTGGGAAAACTAATTGGAATTCCATGTTTTTGTCTGTGGGGGAAAATAGAAAATGATATAAAATTAGTTCATTTATTGTGATTGAACAACTTCAGATTTACAAATTTAATTTACCTTTAGGCAATTTTCAAGAAAGAATTGATGATCTTTTATCATGACATCAAATTGCATGCAAATAAATTAATGTTTCAAACTTTACTGTTGAAGTACATATACCTTTCAAAAGTGGAAATTCTACTGTAATTCCACTGAAAACCACCAGTGGAAGATTTACTGATGTGGCTACAGTTATCCACCTCCTAAATGCCATCTCCACCATCTGACTGGTGAAATTAGGGGGCTAAAAGAAATAAATTTCAATTTTAAGCCGTTTACTGTCAGTCCATAAATTCTGACTCTTCTGTTAACTGTAAGAACTAGCTCTTTTTTCTGTTTTTTTTTTATCAATGTTAAAACTGAGTAACAGTTTTCTTTAATCATTGCAGAAACCAAAAGAAGTGTGTGATAATAAAAGATGTAAATATTCAAGTACTGGTAGGAGGGATACATGTACAGGCATACCCATATCGAAAATAAATATAAAAATAATAGATTAAAATAATACAAAAATAATACAAAAAAAGTATATTTTTAATGACCAAATTTGGAACCCTTTTTTATCTTGGTTCCAAATTAGGTCAAAAATAATACACTTTCTTAGAAATGAAACACAAAAAAATATATTTTTAATATACTTTATTTCTCAGTAAAAATACAAAAATAATACACTTGATGTATTTTTTCTGTACTCTTGTATTTTTTCTGTATTAAATCCTTATCCAAAATACAAAAATAATACAATTTAGAGAAGAACTAAAAAATACAAAAATAATATAAAATGTATTAATTTTGTATCAGTCTATTATTTCTGTATTATTTGGAGCACCTTGAAAAAAAAATAGGAAAATAATACAAAATGTATTAATTTTGTATCAGTCTATTATTTCTGTATTATTTGGAACACCTTGAAAAAAAAATAGGAAAATAATACAAAATGTATTAATTTTGTATCAGTCTATTATTTCTGTATTATTTGGAGCACCTTGAAAAAAAATAGGAAAATAATACAAAATGTATTAATTTTGTATCAGTCTATTATTTCTGTATTATTTGGAGCACCTTGAAAAAAAAATAGGAAAATAATACAAAATGTATTAATGTTGTATCAGTCTATTATATCTGTATTATTTGGAGCACCTTGAAAAAAAAAATAGGAAAATAATACAAAATGTATTAATTTTGTATCAGTCTATTATTTCTGTATTAAAATCGATTTTAAAACAAAAAAAATCTAAAAATAATACATTCTGAAAGATACAAAAAAAATACATTTAGGAGTTCAAAAAAGGTACAAGAATGATAGATAAAAAGTACATAAAAAAAGCTTTAAATAATACAAAGCAGTGCCTAGAAAAGTACTAAAAAGGTGAAAAACTTCTTCTTAAATGCAGCTTTCAATCAGATTTTAAAGAGAAATGGCTTTAGATTACTGATTTAGTTACTTTTTGTGCAATAATCTTGATATTTTCTGTCTTACATACAGTATTCACTCTTCAATTGTCCTCATTTCTAAGTCATGTTTTATCAATCTTATTGTCTTTGTAAATTGTACATTTATAATGAGATATGAATTCAAAAGTCTAGATCTTCTCTCTGCTTTGGGGTTTCTTTTGCACAGCACTTTACTTTATTGAAGAAGTACATCTCCAGTTTTCTCACTGTCATCCTGCTTGGTCCTGCATAATCTTAGACTACAAAATAGAATATCAAAATGTACTGGGGTATATCAAAAATAGATGCACAGACAGTCAGACACACACAAAAAGAAATCTTCACATGATTAGCTGATATTGTCAATGTTACACACCTGTAATGCTTCAAGGGGTAGGGTGGGAGGGTGGGTGGGTAGGTGTCCTATTCCTCTATAACTAATCAGCTTTTCTTCTTTGGCTCTGTAGAGGCACTCAAACTGAAAAAGTAATGATACTGATAAATGTTTTGCAGAACAGGTAGAAATACAGACCATAAAAAATGAAAATATAAAACTGTCAATACACCTCATTGGAATTGGGGGGGGGGGGGGGGGGTCATTTGATTTGAAATCTTAAACTGATATTGGGTAAGGGAAATATGGATCATCATATATTGATATAAAAAATAATTAGTTTGTGCCTAGAATCATTAAATCATATACGATAGGGAACCACACAAACTGTTCAAGTCATTTTTGAAATAATTATAAGTATGCTAAACCATAAATCCATGAAGCTTATTTGCAATGATTACCCCCCCCCCCCCACCCCCTTCACTTTTCAAAATTTAATTGGTTGTATGCCAAGATGATTTTATCTGTTTTTATTCCATGTTTAGGCCTGAGGGATAGGGTGAAATTAATTTTTAAGTCATTTTTGGTCCATGTAAATAATATCATTTGCCATTGAACATGTTGAAAGCCCCTAATTATCCATACAATTCAAGATAGAAAGTAGCATAACGAAACTCTCTTTCGCCACAAATCCAACATGTCCAATATATCTGCATTCAATTTGACCTACTATGAATTGCTTATAAAAGATATTATTAACATTTATTAATCTACATTTCACATTTTAAAAATTGAAACTACTGTGCTATTTTATGTAAATTCTTACCGCATATGGCGTTGTTTACACCAGGAAAGCCAGGGCATGATGCTTGAAAAACGCCAACCTCCTTCCGTTTTCGCTTTTCTTTGTTTATAAATGTGATCCATGCTAACATGCTGTAGCTTAACCTCTATTTTCTACCAATTTCATCGGCGAATACTAGCTAAATTTTATTAAACATCACCAACTCTCTCAATTCGGTTCGTCGATCTATTTTTCAAAATGGCGTGGGTAAATTACCGTTAACCAATCAGAGAAAAGCAAAGAAAAATTTTAAAATCTGACCAATCAAATAGCTCCTTATTTACGAAGATTGCCGATTTTTAAATATAAAATATTTTTAACATTCTAAAGAAATGTATTTATGTACGAAGTCTAATAAGTAATATGGAATCAATTTAATAAACCCTTGATCATTACTAGAATAATTATGAGGAATCATTTCTTATAATCGTTATATGATTATTTGTTTTTAAGAAATTTTCCGATTACAGATGAAAGATTTCTGGTCAGCGATATTGTTTTGTTTTTTTTATTATACAAGTTGACCTGTAAAGTAGACCATAAAGTTCAAGAAGAAGGATCAATTTAGTGTTAAATCTAAAGCAAAATAACAAGGTATAGAGCCATGCCCCCTTTTCTCGGCGCCATGTCCTTTTTTCTGACAAAAAATTAATAAATATTCCAAGTGTAGGCAATATTCCTTAGCTGTTCTGTTGATTCAGTGCATACCGATAATCTCTTGTTTACATAACGCAACCAAGTGTGAATTCACGACAGGAAATCATTTCACACTTGAACGCATCACACAGCCACCTGGCTAATTAACATGCCTCAGGCTGTCAGGGTAGAAGATTTAACTTGAGAAACAGTCATTTGATTGCATTGATTATACAAGAATTAGCCCAAGATCAAACATAATTAACTTGTAAATTATTAACTAATTAAAATCAGGATCGTTTTTTTTTAAACTGAGAGTAGAATTTAACACAGAGTTGAAGAAAAACTGATATTTTATCTGAATAAAAACAACTTACTTTGTACCAAAAACTGAATGTGATGTGACAAAAGGCTAAAAAACAACAACCTAAGTTAGTTTCAGCTAACATTCTCTAGTGTAAATATCTATCTTAAACACACTGATAATTTAATTAGGAAACCTACTACTTGCACATCCCTTTCTAGACTTGAACATTGTAAGCTAATTTCTTGAAATTTATTTAGGATAATTTGAATATGATTCCTTCTCTGAGTGAAAAAAATGCACATATATACTAAAATCTGAAGAAAACATCGTATGCATGGTAATAGCTAGTTGGGACTTTCCATGTGCACAGGTAAATCACGTGATTTCTGAATTGTAGTATGATGCAATCATTTGTTAGCCTGCAAGACCACCTGTTGTGTGATAGATCTAAACACGTGAAAGATGTAAACCCGCTGAAAAGTTAATGTAAACCCGCTGTAAAATCTTCATGCCCAAGATGGAAATATTTCTCTGGATTACCACTGATTGAGATTAACATAAATTTTAGTACCAATTAATTATTTAAGTTCTAGATAATCGGATACCAAGATTCCTGAACAAAAATATATAATATAAATTTTCTAAGTACCGGATATGCTATAAACTTATAAAAAAAGCAGCAGACATTTTGCAAGGAATTTCTCTAAAATTTATAAAGTTCATAAAGACAAATGTAAATAGAAAAAATATGTCTAAATTTACCCCCCCCCCCAACAACAAAAAGAAATAGAGACCAAATATATGGAATTTTCTGTAAATGTACTAAAATCAAATTTGAGACAAAAAATACTGATAGTCTTTCTGTAAAATTACCAAGTCCAAATTTAATATAAAAATAATACAGACAAACTCTGTAAAATTACTAAGTCTAAATTTGATATAAAAATAATATAGACAAACTGTCTGTAAAATTATTAAGTCCAAATTTAATACAGAAATGATACAGTCTAACTGTATAGACTTTTCTGTAAAATTTCTAAGTTCAAATTTGATACAGAAAAAATACATCTGGAAAAAATTAAGTCCTGTAAAAATACAAAAATAATACACTGAAAATAATCTAAGTCCAAAAAATACAAAAATAATACACTGTACAAAATCAAAGTCAAATTTTAATACAAAAATGATATACTGAATTTTTTGTGATAGGAAAATAATACATTTTTTCTGTATTATTTTAAGAAAGTACAAAAATGAATGTATTAAAAGTATATTAAAAATATACTTTTCTGTATTATTTTTTGATATGGGTATATATTGTTTTATTTCTTTATACTACCTACTAAATTATTCATATGGAATACTAACTAGACTTCCCACTGGATAAACTTCATATGAAGTAGGCATGACAGGAAGTGTAGATATCGTTTGCAGCCAAACACAGCTGGTAGCATCCAGCTTCATCAATCTCCTGAGACTATCAGGGACAAGCACGTGATGGCAGAGTATTGGATGATCTCGCGTCACTTCATTCAGCATCTGTTCACAGTGTACATTTGTATTGGTTTTCTTTTTGTCCAGCACAACTACTCTCACAATGCACTGTGTCAAGTGGTCTTTCTCTTTAGATGGTGGATCTTTTGCATTATCATCCTTGGTAGACCGGACTGATTTCTGTTTCCCTTTGTTCTTTTCTTCATTCAATTCTTTTTCCATTTCTGCCATTTGAACTTTAGGTGAGAAAAGCTTTGAAAGTCTGGCTAAAAACATTCCAGGAACATGTAAACTCATGTTACCAGTTTGTTCAATGATATCTTCTGTATTTACAAAAACAACAGCTGGCTGCTGCAAGAATGGGCACTCTTTGAGGTCCTCTGAACTTGGTGTTGGACTTACCGGTTCTTCTTTTTTCCCCTTTTTCCCCATATTTCTTATTCTTTGTGGCTGGACCCGAAATGCTAAATTTAGTCCTTCCTGAATAATGTCCATCTTCTTATAATCAATCGACTTTTTACGAAAATTTGGAATGCCACGGAATGGCTCCTGGATCCTATTGGAAGTGTTCTGCACACCCAGTAACCATGGTACCCATTCCTTCCAGTTCCATTTGGATGGAATTTCCATTCGTGAAGAATACCCATCACTAACAGAGCTATTAGAGTCAAAACTTTTCTCACCAGAAAACTTCAGTTTATCCTCCCCTCTAGCTGGGGAAGGACTATGTTTCCTTACTTTAGAGTCACTGACCGCACCCCCTCGGACTTTAGGAGACACAACAACCTCAGTGTCAGTGACTAGTAATACACATTCCTCTGCTGGATTTGTAACAGCTACAATTAATTATAAGTTTATCAAGCATTTAACACATTTTCAAATAAACACTTCACACTTTAATAGAGATACATGTATTTACAGTGTGCATCTTTTGTACATTTCAAATGTTCATTGGTTTTCTTCTGATATACAGTCTTATTAAAATCAGATCCATAGATCCACTCATACATGTATATTTTGCTACAACAACTGATTTTCAGGAAGACACACTCTCTACCCATTCAAGAATTAATGACACCACTCCATACTTACACTCAGCATCACATTAAAAACTCATAATCTCTATCTCAATGGCACACTCACAGAGAAAGGACTTTGAGCTATTCAAGGATTCAAGATAGTGTATCAAGGGTAAAATACAAATAGATGGGTTGTCACTTCGACATATATCCATAATATTTGAGATAACAGTGTTCAAGATACTGAAGATTAGCATTATTTACAATTCCATCAAATGTACTGTATATACCTACTGATTTTCAGGTAGACACAGACATTTCTCTCCACCCACACAGGTAAGACCAGACCGGACCACACAACCCTCACCTGGTCAAGCAGGTGAGATTCCACATAACTGGCATGCTTTTCCTAGCACAAAACAGTCACTTTAAGCATGAATCGACCATGAATTGAAAATATTTGCAATGTTCATTATGTTGTTAAAATCATTACGGTACACTATGTACACAAAATGTTTACTTTAGAGCAAACTCAGAAAATACTTATATATTATTAGTTCCCTCTAATAGTATAATAAGAAACTGAACATAAAATAGTAATGATGAAAAAAAAACATCTGATTATTTGAATCTTTTACCATAGCTTTTTTTCAGATTACAGTACCTACCAAAATTTCCCAGTCATCACAGGACAGTGGTTCAATAGACACCTGGCTACATATAGGAACATTTCTTTTTACTCTCACAATGACCTATAGAAAACAACAGTATAGTGAAGCCAGATAAAACATGCCTGTAGTCCAAATTAATATACAGTCCCTCTTTATGACAATCTGATAAACTCAGATGCAGCATTATAATTAGAATTTTAAGCATCTGTTGGTCACAAATTTAACAATTTGACTTCAATAGTACGTCCTGAAAAATCAGTACATAATTGTAGTGAGAAGTAATTTATTGATTCTGTGATACCTAGAAATATATAATGTTAACCTCCACTGTGAAAGGAATTTTTAGGGATATTCAATATTATATCAATCTCAATACTATTGCTAGAAAAATGCCAAAATAAATGATTGAATTTCATACACATATCAAGTTATTTCGATATGTTGACTTTCAACCTTTGCCTCAGTATTTTTCTCTTTCTACATAATCTCAATTCAACATATTGTTTTTTATTTATAATTTACATTCTATATTATTTTAAGGAGTTATTTGTAACAAATGAGGATGAAATGAAAAAATTAAACCATTTTTTCATTTAAACAATTTATATCTTATCAAAATATTCTTAGAACTTTATGAAAAATCCTTTGTTCATGACACAAAATAAAGTTCCTATACGAGCAGCAGAGCCCACGAGGAGTGGGGCATTATGATTATGCTCACTGTACGCCTTGGCTGGTGAATAAAAGCAGAAGCATTAAAACTATATTATATTCTAGGTTGTTGTTTGTTATAATATAATGAAAATACAGTATCACATGCAACTTTGTTTCTGATAAATTATTTTTTAAATAAATGAGACATATCTAGTAATTTAACATTTGAGTATCTAAAAATTGTAACCTGTTGTGTATCTTTCAGTTTTAGTTTCTCAGCAAATAATCCATTAATTCCTAAATAATTATTTGAAGTGACATCTTTTACTGATGCATATACTGTGATGCCATCATCTGTCTGAACTTCAAATACCAGTAACTGAAAGAAAAAAATCAAGTCTATGTCATGTTTACATTGCAACAGAGATAATTTATAAGTATATTGTACAAGTGTGCATTTCATTTTGATAAAGATGTTCTGAAAATTATGCAAAGTCAATGAAGATTGAGCGTCTATGGATGATATTAGGGATCATTATTTCTTGTATCATTGTTGCGGTGCTTTTCCTTTGAAGACCACAGTGTTTATATTTTTGATACGTCATGGCTAAATGTGATCTAACAACCATGCTCATCAAGATAGAGCACGCTAGGGTGATGATGAAACAATTCTAATAAATGACCCATGACCTTACACCGAATAATTAGGAAAAAAGTAAATACAAAGTCATGTAAACATAGTGAAGGAACACCTTCCGTATTTAAACATAAAAAAATTAATTTTGCACGCCAATATTTAAATCCAATTGAAAATGGAATTATACACCGCATTTTTAAATGAATGTTTTCGACTCTCATAAACTTGGAGCATAACAAAGCACACACAATAAACTACAGGAAATGAGGTGAATATTCCGAGCCGTCTTGTTTTATTAATTCCAACACAAATCAACAAATCCAGTAATTTGGAGAATAACTTCTTGGTACATCTTGGTCAAAAGTGTCCATTTTCCCGTGCGGTATTCCTAGAATGTTTAAATTGCCCAATTGGTATTTTTACGAATGTTTAAATGATTAAGTGAAATAAAGAATTTTCCTTCATAATTTCAGTTCTAAAGTTTAAGAAATACAATGCCCTCTACTTTTCAAATCACATGTTCCTTTTTCATTGGTCAAATCAGTATGTCTGATGAAATTTTGAAAGATCATGGCTAACTCATAGCTGCAGAAATGTAGCTCTCCGAGAAATATATTGATAGACCAGAGATCTACAGTGCCACCAATTGAAAAATCTGTATATTTATTGCGCACAAAAAGTTGCGCTTGTGTGTGGATTAATTCTTCCAAATTCCTCCCTCAATTGCAAAAAAATTAGATTTCAAAAAATTCCATACTCTTCTATCAAGTATTTTCGTAGTTGACATCTACAGGAAGCGTGTTGGGGCGAATTATCCTACAAACCAAAATGGCTGTATAAACAGACGAAATTTTCGATGTTCTTGATTTCAGGGCCAGTAGGGCTATAAACAACAACTATAAGGTATGTTTTGTTGTGGAAACAGAGAAAGATTATGCTAGAAATACACGGTTAGTAATATTTTGAGATCATAGTTTTAAAAACATGGAGAAATAAATCGATAAACAGCGCACATTTTTGTGAGTAATAAACAGATAAATATACAGTTTTTTCAATGGGTGGCACTGTAGCTCATCGGTCTGTCGAATTAATTTTTCGGCGAGCTACAGATCTGCAGCTAGGCTAACTCAGTGTTTGCGAAAACAGCTGAACTGTGCTATTAATGTAAAAGTGATAGATCATGGGTAACTCAGTTACTGGGAACAAAGACACAAAATATATAGATTACCTTTTAACTCGTGCACCTTCAATATCAGACCCGGGGGACAAGCCCCCTCGTCTGATATCTGAAGATACACTCGTTAAAAAGTACTCTATATATTACTTATGTTTTATATAAACAACTGGTCAACATTATATTGAAAATGAAAAGGGAGATCCTGGAGCTCCTGCTTTTAACAGTTTAACTCCATTGATGACAGAGATGAAGCTTAGAAATGAAATACCTCTGACTTATTCGCAATTTTTTTGATAATTGGAGATGGTAATGATATAAAACAATTCTTGTCATTGCTGAAATGTACTGGAACGACGTCAAAACTCATTTTCGTTCTGCTTTCTGCCTTCTTTTTGTCAACATCCTGTCAAGGTTAATTGAGTATACCGATCCCGATTATAATTATTCAACATGGCGGGCGTTGACGATGACGATCATGATGTGTTGGATGACGAGCAGTTAGATGTTTTGCTTAATTTTCCCCTTAATATACAAGAAGTAATTGATCAGGTTCTCCATAGCGATGATCCCCTGGACCGTGCCGACTTCAATCCTATAGACCACATCAACACACTGTTCCCAACAGAGCAGTCATTAGTCAACATTGATGATGTGGTTGGTAAAATGCAACTGAAAATACGAAAACTTGATGATGAAATAAGAACAGTAGTACGAGGACAGACAAATGCAGGTGAGGATGGAAGACAGGCTTTGGAAGAGGCCCAAAAGGCAATTCAAGAACTTTTCTCTCAGATCAAAGAAATCAAAGAAAAGGCAGACAAATCAGAGGAAATGGTGAAAGAAATAACACGGGACATTAAACAACTTGATCATGCTAAAAAGAATTTGACAAGCTCTATTACAACTCTGAATCACCTCCACATGTTGGTAGGAGGTGTGGATTCACTTTCGATGTTGGCCAAGAAAAGACAATATGGAGATGTTGCAAATTTACTTCAGGGAGTTCAAAATGTATTGGAACATTTTCAGAAATACATGGAAATTCCACAAATAAAACAATTAGCCGACAGAGTCAAATCGATTCAGTCAGATCTTGGATCACAAATTCTTGCTGATTTTGAAGAAGCTTTTCAGGGAGCTGGTGCAAAGTATGGCCCTTCAAATCAAAAACAGTTAAGAGAGGCCTGCTTTGTTGTTGATGTTTTGGATTCCAAAGTGAAGAAAGATCTACTAGCTTGGTTTGTCAAAGTTCAGTTGTCAGAATATCTTGTCCTGTTTGGTGAAAAAGAAGAAGTAGCCTGGCTGGATAAGATAGACAGAAGATATGCTTGGATAAAAAGAACCTTAGTGGACTTTGAGGAGAAGTTTGGACCATTATTTCCGGAGGCTTGGGAAGTTTCAGAGAGGATATGTATTGATTTTTGTAATATTACAAGGTCAGAACTGTCCAAGATAATGGGGAGAAGACTGCATGAAATTGATGTCAAATTGTTGCTTTTTGCTATACAAAGAACCACCAATTTTGAGGCATTGATCACAAGAAGATTCACTGGTGTAACTCTGAATGAATCACAGAATGTTCCTATTCCAAGTCCCCAGACACAGTCTACAAATCCATTCAAAGAGTCTACAAATCCATTTGAGACAGAATCCGATGGAGAAAGTGGTTCTTTAGAAGAAACAAAGGACACTGCTAAGCAAGCTGGCTCTCCATTTACCGGTATTATCTCTAAGTGCTTTGAACAACACCTGAATATTTACATTGATTCACAAGATAAGAACTTGGCAGAGCTGATAAACAGATTTTTGGAAGATTTGAGGCAGCATGGGACTCCTAGAATGGCATCAGATGAGGGTAGCAATGTACTTCCCAGTTGTGCAGACCTGTTTGTGTTCTACAAAAAATGCATGGTTCAGTGCTCACAGCTTAGCACTGGACAGCCCATGATTGATCTCACAAGAACATTTCAAAAATATCTTAGAGAATATGCCAATAGAGTCCTTCTGAACAATCTACCCAAAGCTTCAAATCAGAGTGGAGGATTGACTTCAGCGTCCGGTCTGATACAAAGCATCCTGAAAGAAGGGGAGGTAACCAAGTTCACAGAGGAGGAGCAGTGTCGGATCTGTAGTATTCTATGTACAGCAGAGTACTGCATGGAAACAAGCCAACAGCTGGAGGAAAAACTGAAAGAAAAAGTGGACCCCTGCCTCTCAAGTCAGATAGATTTAAACTCCGAACAAGACACATTCCATAATGTTATATCCAATTGTATACAACTGCTAGTGCAAGATCTAGAGACAGCTTGTGAGCCGGCTCTCACTGCAATGAGCAAGATGTCTTGGTCATCTGTAGAGGCAGTGGGGGATCAGAGTGGATATATAACTGCCATCACAGGCCACCTAAAACAAAACCTACCAGTCATCAGGGACAACCTAGCGTCATCTCGAAAATTCTTCACACAATTTTGTCTAAAGTTTGCCAATTCTTTCATTCCCAAGTTTATCAGCCATCTCTTTAAATGCAAGAACATAAACACAGTGGCTGCGGAGCAGCTGCTGTTAGACACACATTCCTTAAAAACAATTTTGCTGGACTTGCCATCCCTTGGATCTAATGTGGTTAGAAAAGCTCCAACCAGTTTTACAAAAATCGTTATCAAAGGCATGACAAGAGCAGAACATGTACTAAAGGTTGTGATGTCACCACATGCTGATCAGCACAGATTTGTGGAGAGTTACTACAGAATGCTAAGTGATTCCGATCTGAACGAATTCCAGAAAGTCCTCGAAATGAAGGTTTGCAAAAGTTTCTCTATTTACTTTTTTTTATCGTACTTTTTAAGGATAACTCTAGATATGGAAAAAAAAGTATTAATCTGATTATAAAACTTACATTCAGACAGATTTAAAATGGGAAAAATGTTAATTTACACAATTTTATGATAATCTAGTAAATTTATACCGGTATATATCAGTTTCTTCTTAAAGACATATTTTTTCTATTTCATAGGGTTTGCGTAGGAGCGAACAAAGTAACCTTTTAGAAATTTATCGTGCAAAAATGCCTTTGACGGCAGCAACAGGAGGGACGCATGGCGACTTAAATCCCGGGATCTCCTTACAAACCCAAACTTCTGAGCAGGAATCCAGCCGGATCAGAAAACTAGAGAGGCTTATCAAAAAGAGACTTTGATACCGTACATGATATCCATTAATATAATTATATAAATCTTTTTGTTATACAGTATAAAAAAGTGAATATGGTGATTTTTATTTTCAAAATCAAATTATATCCTTAAACTTTGACCAAAAAAGGAACACTGTTTTCATGACTTTAAGCATGATCTGTCAATCCCAAAGTTTATTGGTCATTTTATCCTGAAATTTACCCAAATGGCAATACTACTAGTGTATATGTTAAATGTTCATTCTCAGTTGGTTTCATACATGTACTAGGTGTGTATATTGGAGTTCTGTCTGAAAAAAAACAAAATAAAGGATGCATGTATACTGTGTGTGAAGTTTTGGCTACCGGTAGATTGTGTAAGTCATTTGAAACACCCCTAACCTAACTTTTTTTAAATATAATCCCAATGTTTGTGAAAAAATACTTTCTAGTTAAAAACAGAGAGCAATGACCAACTAAATATATACTAGTTTTAAAAAAACAACATTTTTATGATAAAACATTCACAATTTTAATTCCATTAATCCAAGGGTCATGGTCATACCACAAACATGGTTTAAATGCAACCATCTGCAGAAGATGGGTAGTCTATAGGTTAGCTTGTTTGTCTCAAAAGAATTAGGTGATAGATTTCATTGAGATGGTGGTCATCTCAGAGGGTCCCACTTTTAGTAATGAAAATATAAGGTACATTGTAGCTGAAAAGGGTTTTGACCCTTGACCTAGAAACTTCGTTCAAGGTCACTGCACATCTATTGATAAGTTGCACTCTGTGAGTGAAGTATGAGTCACATTGGACCAAGAGGTGAAAAGATATGCTCCGGACAAGGATTTCATATAATTCTGCTTTTACTTTAACCTTTGACCTAGAAATATATTTAAGGTCACTGCACACCCTTTACCCAAAAGGCACTCTAGCTGTGCATGAAGTATGAGCCAATTTGAGTCAAGAGACTGAACACTATAGGCCGACCCCAGAGAGAAGCCCTAACTGAGTAAACTTCTGAAGGTTTTTATGAGTGATCAGTCCGTTCATCCGAGATATCTTGTCTGAAGCATATCTTCTCTCCCCTTGACCCAGGCGTGAATACAGGAATTTTTTTTTTCCAGCGGGGGGGGGGGGGGGGGGGAGGGGTCCAAGCCAGTCAAAATAATTCCAACCCAGAAATTTCTTGACAAGCAACAAAAGAAAAAAATAAAACTTCGGGGGGGGGGGGGGGGGGGGGGGGGGGTAGTCGTTCACTTTCAAGCTACAGACCTATGACTTTTCATACCAATTTCACATAGATCCGCGTTTTCTAGGGGGGAGGGGGGGGATCCAAGGTCAATTTTAGTTGATTTAGTTTGGTACATTTAATAACTCTACAAATTACATGGAGGTGTGGACCTCACGACCCCCTATACATATAGGTCCGCGCATGCCACCATCTCAATGATATCTAGTTGTATATGTTAGGGTTCGCATATCACATTACTTTTTTGATAATTTTTTTTTTTTTTGCTAGAAAAGTTTTGTTTATCATAAGTCAATTAATTTCAATAATGAGAACTTTACTTTAGATACTTAAATTACAAATTAAATATGATTTTTATTTATCTGAAGCTAAAAGCATTCTGCGCACCTTAATTGTTCACCCTCTTAAATTCTGCATGTGCATTAATACTTCTAAATTTTAACTTTTTTTTCATCGGTGAATCCAGCGTAAATGATAGCTAAAATCAAAGTACTGAAAGTACTGAAAAGCGGTTAGCATGCTTTCATCTAATATGTAACGAAAAAAGTGCATGCAATAATGATATTTAAGTATGCATATCTTTGTCCAATGTCATCAGAGAACAAAAAAAAAACAAAAAAAACAGACATTCTGTTTTTGTAATACTTTACTTAATAGTAAAACCAATAACATTCCAAACTGATGTCACAGATGGATGCAATCTAATTAAAATTAGATGTTCCGAATCCGCTACTGCTTCTCAAACATCTAACAACATCCTTTTTGGGGTCATGTAAGAGTGAATCTTCAATTAGCCAAAGAAAATGGTTCCTCCGAAATCTTGGCTTATAGTTCAGATGGGTTTCTTGTTTTCACCACCGAACCAAAACACCCGAGGAGTTTTGTAGTAAACAAAATATGCATTGCAAAAGCTGTGTTATGTGTGACGTGTGGGGTATCTTGTATAGTTTGTGCTCTTTCGTTTGCATTATTCACGTTCAGATGCCAGACTGCAGACTATACATGAAATTTATTCCAAAATTACTTTAATTCAACGTAAGACAGTATCAATAACGATGATATGTAGCCGTGGAATTAATTTGAGAATTGTTTACCGAGGCTTGAATCTACATGGCCAAAGTGTTTGTGTTTACTAGTACATGTATTCATAATCGAAAGGTCGCTCTGATGTGACCTGGAATGGGCTGTTAGATGTTTGAGAAGCGGTAGCGGATTTGGAACATTTAAATAAATTTTGATTAGATTGAAATGCATGTTTCAAAATTTAAACATGAGATTTCTTCAGTTTGAAAGACAGGAAGTGCATTTTTACAAGTTCTCTCTTGGTGGCATCCAGTCGTTCTCTGGATGAAAACAATTATGTTGATGTTGAAAATTTAATTGTCTTTCATGCTCTATTGAATCTGAAATTAGGTAATTGTAAAGCCTACTATAGCAAACAACTAAAAAAAAATGACAAGTTAAATTCTTTAGATTAAGGGATTTGGAGTAGTGTAGATCTACAGCTGGCTAGTCAGAGAAAAAAAGGATGGCTGAGCAGAGACTTTGTAAATGAATTGATATCAGAGAGCTCCAGATGTGTAGGCTCACTGCGAGTGTAACCTGTCAACGAGGGATGCTTACTTCTTCTAGGCAACGGATCCCATCTCTTGAACTTTCAGGAGTCCGCTTTTCTTCTTAAATCGATCATTGATCATTCTGTATTTTGATACAGATACTGAATACTTCCGTTTAGTAATATTATGAACTACTACTTCTACGGGAAGACTGGCGAGTAAACAAGATTATCAAGCTTAATGAAATGTACTTTATTGACTTTTCAAACAAGTAAATGTTCGAATAAAGTAAATGGTATATGAGAATCATTTAAAAGAAGTCTTGCACAATGTGTCTAGATAAGGACATATAATGTGTATTTGCCATATACTCTTCATGCAATATTGATCTCAAATAAAACATGTGAAAAGGAAAGTTGTCTAATCAATCAATACTAGTATTTAAAAATTCAAATGTACACTAAAAGGTATCCGACCCATAATAGGACCAAAATTTCTAACCTTAAATATCAATTGTTTGTAACATATCCTGATATTATTTTAAAGCATTTTAGAGTAGAAAGGGATTTACCAAGAGAAATTTTCAAAAATTTTATTACCTAAGCAGAAATTAATTATTGAAGATTGCATTGAAGTATATGGAAGGAAGGAAGTTTTTTAAGATAACAAAATAAATACTTCAAATATCAAAAAATGCTGTGGTGGAAAGATGTATTTGATCATTGGCAATAGAAAAACAATTAAAAATAAATTTTTTACCAGACAGATTTTTGAAAATAAATTTTTATTGAGTAAAATCAAAGGGAGATAACTCGTCAAGGGCAGGAAAAGGTCATAAATTAGGACATGTCCCACTCTTACATTCTTATACTAAAAGATGAAAATTAGTTCTAACTACACTGAGTATTCAGCCCATATATATCTATTATGCATTCAATTCCATTGAATCTGAGGCTAATATGGATCGGATAGTTATCAGTGTCACTTTCTTCAATATGCCGGTTAAACAATATACACTGATTTCTTTTCTATCAATGTGCCTCTAAACACCTGTATTTTAATTTAATTCTTCTTAAACGCTCAAAATAATAATCGACAAATTGGACAAATTCAAATTTAAAAAGTATTTCTCAGCTAATAATACGTTCCTTAGGAATTGATCAAATTTTCAAAACTTATAAATAAGCATTAAGTATATATTTTAAATTTTTGCTAATTGCCAAGATTTTTCATACCTTATTCTTCTGTGAATAATAATATCGGTTGATTTTTAGAAGAGAATCGCAATGCCGATTAAAATTAATATATATTTTTCCTTTTCCTTCAAAATTAATTTTACTACTTTAAGTGCCCCATTATTTTTTTCAAAACTAAAAGTAAGTGATCCCTTATGATCGTTTGTCATAAATTATCAAAGACGGAGTAGAAAATTTACCCCTGGGAGCAGAGCTTTTATAATCTGTTTATTAGACAGAGAAGAAAAGAGAAGAAAACAAACGTTTCATTGTAAAGGTAATCCTATTGTTTTCATAAAAACGTTACAAAAAGTGTAAAACGTACAGATGTATTCGATGTTTTTATAAAAGCGTTTTTCAGGTATTACTTAACTTAATAAATGGTGTTTCTTAATACTTTGGCAAGGAAAATCAAACTCGATCGAGAGATTTGCTGATGTTTTTGCAGTCTGTAATAACCTTCAACCTGCTGTATAATTAACCGTATCGTTCAACTTTCAAAAATAAACTAACAGTTGCTATAAATCGCGATCGCACGATGTACATGTAATAAGGACCAAATTCTCAGTTCTTTGAAGTTAGTGTTCTAAGTATTGTCAATGCTTTGGTAAATACTAATAAGAATTCGATATAATCGTTATAATAGCCACTCTTCATACACAGCTTATTGTCAATCTCTCACCAGGGGGCGTATATTACGCCAACAGTATACAAATCATAGGAAGCGCTTTGCTGAAGTTACCGTTGTCGATAGGTAGCGCCTTGTGGAAGTTTCCGGTTTTGGTTGCAGAAGGATAAGGTTACGTGCCATAAAGTGATGTCGATAGGTAGCGCCTTATGGAAGTTTCCGGTTTTTGGAGGCCCATGCCATAAAGCGGTTAGCTAGCTAACCGCTTAATAAAAAGTGAAGGGGTCAGTTAGTTTCTTTTATTACTGAAAATGTCTATTGAAAAGTTGAACATCAACGTTAGCATAACCCCACCCACCCCTCCCCCTCAAAATCGATCGTTCTTAAATTACAGAATCTAGTACAAAAAATATGTACCACTTTTATTTGTACGTTTGTACAGAGCACATGAGGATGAGGGTGACCAATCGACAGGGAATACTTACTTCTCCATGTCACGGGATCCTGCCTCTGATGTTTAAGAGGTCTGTATTTTCCGTTTTGTATAGTTTCATCGAACCCTGTCAATAAATGTATATTATTGAGTATGTTCTCGGGCATTGCGTTTTGTCGACCCTCGAACCAAAGTGTTTGCCTAAGGCCGTTTGGTTT